CAGACAGGTTTCGTTTTCTTTATTGCTTGTTTATAGGGACAACATTTTAAACCATATTGTTGTACCTTTTGCACAAGATTTTGGGGAGGATTTTGTTTTCATCGACGATAACGGCATGCCGCACAGAGCTCGTACGTTGTAAGCCTTTTGGCAGAAAATAATGTTACATTATTGCCTCGGCCTTCAAAGTGTTCAGACTTAAACGTAATTGATCATCTGTGGTATCGGCAAAAATTTTTCGTGCGGTCAAGACATAAATGCTCCTCAAACAATGGAAGAGCTGTCTGCGGCCATTCAGGAAGAGTGGGAAAGCGTATCTCGAGAATTTATTAATAACCTTCTGGAAAGTATGCCACGAAGATACCAGGCTGTGATCGATGTGCGGGGTAGCCCTACAAGGTGCTTACAATATTGTTTAAAATAACTGTTGGTGTTTTATAAAAAGTTCGTTTTTGTCATAAGTAAATAATTTAGGTATTTAACTGGTATTCAAATTTTTGTTTTCTAAAATGTTTCATATTGTTAATGTTAGTCAATAAATTCTTTGGTGTTGTTTAAAAATTTGATAGAGTCCATCATCTATTGGAAAACATCTTCAATGAAGAGCGCACTCCACTGCTGAATGAGAAAGATGAAAAATTCAAGATAACAGATGAAGCCAGTGTTGGCCAGCATCATAGCATTTAGAAAAATATTTTTTTAAGTTATTAACAGTTTTTACTAACCCAAAAAATGCATTTGGTGTTATGTCACTGGAATACTCCCCTATATTAAGAGTAGTAACTTGTATTTGTTCATTAAGCGGTTCAATCGCATAGTAAAATTTATGAATTCGGCTTAAATTAAATAATGTCAAAGTAGCAATTTTTTACTGCTTGCCACTGGAGGCAATAACGTTCAATGAGTGCTTCAGTCTTTTCTCGGGTGCAAGAAATTTCACTTTATACAACGGTATGAGAAAAAATACCACTTCTCAAGAGAAACTCCATTTTTTAGGGTTAAATGTAACAGTTTTTTAAAATTCGATAATTTGAGTTATAGCCAACAAAATTTGGGATATAATTTTTCTTAGGAAAGATGCATAGAAAAAATTCCAAAAACAAAAATTGAAAATCTGACAGCCCCAAACATTGCTAAAAAACCTGACTTCCTTTGTAAAGTAAAGTTTATTCACAAAAAATAACGATAATATTGTAAACTGAATATAAAAGCGTACCTACAAAGTTTAGTATCTTAAAACAAACAGGAAACCCACAGAAGCAAGCTTGTGCGTGGGATTGTACAAATTGCAACAACATTAATCATGGAAAGGACATTTTTTTAAATTTCCAGTCCGTTGCTAATATTAGTAAAATAAAAGTCACTCACTATGAAATATATACATATAAATTCGTTAAAATCATCTACAGTCGGTTAATTTTACATGTTTGAGAAAAACTGGCATATTTATCTGATACCATTCATATAATGTTATTAAAATTCGGAATCGTTGAAAATCGAGAAAGAGTGAAAAATTGATAAAAAGACAAAGTAAGTATACAGACATCACAGCAACAGTTTCAATACACTTATGAGACCTGTACAATCATCACCGATGTTATATTATTTATGTTTTGCCTGGGAGTATTTGAGTGGATAAATAAAAGAAATACACCGGTCGAATCCTGCACGGGTGCGCAGAGAGTTGATCAAGGACCTTCCGAATACCGCAACTCGATATTACCTCTTTCCTATCCGAAAATCTCGAGATTTGAATTTGCGTAAAATTTTCCATGTTGCAAAGCAGCTACTACCCACCAGTTTATTTCCGTCACCTTGTAGTAAAATCTTGGTAATTTTGCCCTATAAAATCAGATGAGTCTGGACTGAATTTAAGAATAAAGGAAACATACTATATGTTTTCATCAAATGTCGCCATAATAGGTACTCAAAATTCACGGGTCTTCGAAATAAGCTAAATTAACGAATTTTGATAACAATTTTAATGAGACACTCTGACAACATAATCGTAAATCATAAGAAAGCTTTGTTTTAAGGCACGAAGTTGTTAATTATATGCAAATTAATGTGTTTTTGGGCGACTTTGACATTAAATAATTTCTAATGAAAGTAGGCTGTATTTATTAGTTAGAGGTAGCTAGCATGATGAATACGAATTATCCTACAATCACTCTTCGTATTGCGTGATTGCGATAGGAAAAAATTACTGTCAGGGATCATTCTCTCTTTTTAAATTACAATCGTTGCCTAATCCAAAGAGAGAGAGAGAGAGTGAGAGTGCGTTCATTAGTACCATTTGGTGTTGGATTTTGATAATTCTGTGGTTTACAGATACCGTGTGTTTTTATAAAATACCGTATTTAGTTTGTTCCAAAGAAAAAAAAAGGTTGATCCTGAAACGTCACAGTCCGAATATTGAGCGGCACGCACTATTACTACAATTCTTCCGAATTGAAGGCACCTGCGCGCTTAACTTCACCGTGGTAGCTGAGTCTCTTTTAATAGTATTGTGAGGTTTGACAATAAACCTTAGGTATCTTCCGGTTTAAATTTGCAGACAGCTCGTGAAAGTAAATTTTTTTCCTTCAAAGTTAGTTTCAATGCCGAAATCTAGACGAACATTTACTAAAAGCAACCTCAAGAGGTAAAATAGGGTTATTTAGTAGACATATCAACTTGTTTCTACCAATGGATGTTGCAAACTTGCATGAAATTTTGATTAGTCATTAATAAGACAATTTTCACTTACCAGTATGAGCAAAAGAGACCTAACATTGAAGGCATAGTTTAGGTTAATATTAGATAAGCTATAACCTCTGGTTTTGTCTTCGATGTCCATAATTATTTAAGTACTTTTTAGAGGTGCGTTTTAGGTTGTTTTCAAAAAATCAATTTAACCTCTTCGTCAAAGGTTCATTAGGGCCCTAATTAGTTATCAATTTTTGACAAAAAATTCAACTTTCAAGACAATTCAACTTTTGAGGACAGCACTTAAGGGTATAATTACTAAAATTTTAGAAATATAGGTGACTTTAATTTGTTTTGTTGTTTGTTGAATTAGTTTAATATGTCTTTGTATATTATTTGACCACAATATAGAGTTTAGTTGACTTGTAGCATGTCTTGCTTTATTAAGTCGATGTGATATTTCTTCCTTGCGTGGTCCATCCTTTCCTATTTTAACTCGCAGATAAATACGAGTGCCTTTACATGCCTTTACTAATTTTACAGCAATTTCTAAATCTGCTTTGAGCGGTTGATTTTAAGCACTGCTTCATCATTTGCCTCACCTAACTTCGCATCATGTATCCAGTATCGAATGACTTACTAGCAATCAGTATCTGATCATTTGCGAAAAGTAGTGTGTACAGGAAGCTTCCATTTATGTTCAGACCTATACCAGCACATAATTAATTCAAGATAAACTTTGAATAACGTTGGTAACAAACAACAACCTTGTTTGAGATATTTTATTGGCTATATTACCCTACATAGCTTCCCGTTCTCCTTTATCCAAGTGAGGCCACTTCGGACTATCTACACCACACCATTTTTGCAGCTGCTGTTAAGGCGGTCGTCCGCAGGGTTGCGAACCCGATTAAACAAAAGATAAAAGCACCGTGAAATGCTTATTTCAACCCTTTGAGAGAATTTCCCACCATCCTGATGAAAGTGGAGTTACCGTCGAAGTAAAATTATTTTGGGTGAAGCGTGGATGAACTTAACGGTCTGAGGGTTGTAACTTGAGCGGAAAAGTCCCAAAAACAAAGACAATCAAGGTAAGCAATTTAACCACTGAGATGTGCAGTGTCGAACATTTCGGAGAGATAGAAGAGTTTAACACCTTACCGCCAAAATTTTACTGGCATCTTTTTTGTCACGTAATCTCAGCACATATAAACGATCGATGCTCTTTTTGATTGAAAACAGAGGTTCATTTTGAAGACTCACTTTCCAGTAATACATCTTTTTCAGAAGGAAATCGCACTCGCACTTGAAAGATTTTACAAAAAACATGTCTCATCCCATTTCATAGTGATTGTTAGGTTTGTGACTAGTACCTAATTGCCATGCCAACTTTGGTACAATCTTTTTTTCCGAAAGATCTAGCGATTTTGAGCAACTTAGAGCCAACCTATTCCACATATTCCAATGCACTCCTGTAAAATGCATATATTCATCTTGAAAAGACCCCGAAGAAACTTTATGGCTTACGCCTTTCGACTACTTTTTCAAAAATTCGGTATGCTCTGGATCTCGAACATATGGGCACACAGTTTTTACACGAGTAGTTTGCGAGATTCAGGTCCTTGAGGTTAGGCAGTCTGCATACTAATCATATTGTGGGTTCGGTACATAACATTGTCATAGCTGTTTGATATTTATTTGCGTTTTTTTTATCATCACTAGTATCTGGCTTATGAAGGGGCACCTCTTTAAAAACTCTTTGACTTACGCATGCTTCCATTTTTTTAAACAAATACGCTATCATCTCAAAAAAAAAAATGTCACACAAACAGTGTTGGTGAGGTCTATCCAAGAATGTTAAAAAATATATATAAAAAACGTTATTGATACCCGACCGTACAGGTTGGTAAATTGGCTAGCAGGGATGATAATAATAAGGTAAATAAAGATTACATATTAGTATGTGCCCGACAGCCCAAAATAGGGTACAAAATGCCTAATTCGGAGGTCCTTCATCTCGGAAACTACGGAAACTTCAGACCCTTTGGCACTTTTTAGCAGGGATGATAATAATAAGGTAAATAAAGATTACATATTAGTATGTGCCCGACAGCCCAAAATAGGGTACAAAATGCCTAATTTGGAGGTCCTCCATCTCGGAAACTACGGAAACTTCAGACCCTTTGACAGTTTTGTTCTACGTGTGGAGATCTACAAATTGCTGGATCCTCAAAAATATTAGCCAAAAGCCAGGCGGTTTCTAGGGGGTCTTTTGCGCCTTTTTGCATTTAATTAAAGTGAACAAATTGTACCTGGCATATAGTCGCAATCTGGTAGCTTATCCCTTGTAAAAGACAGAAACGTTTCCAGACATTCCTCAGGCGTTATAGGTAAATCCATATACTCTACCAGTCTTCTAGCAGTTTCCTTTTGAACGCATCCCGCTATATTATTTTTCATTTCTACTGTGAACTTTTTACCATATTCTTCTCCTATGGCTCTAAAAGCGGCCTGATTTATGGTTTCTGTATCTAAAAGTAATCGAGAAATACAAATAGTTGGATCTGCAAGTAGATTTTAGAATGAAACTGAATGAAGTTTTTTTTGTGTGGCTATTATATCACTTATTTCGTTGTTTGCATTGGTATATTAAAGGAAGGGGAGCCAGGCCTCCCCCGAATGGTACTAAATACTAATCACCTTTTTAGCGAATTTGACAATTTTTAGGTAAACTGTTGCTTAGCCGTGATGTGCAGCTTTTGTGAGTGAAGGTCCACAAATATTGCAAAAACGCATATGTAGGACTTTAATCAGCTCAAAATTTCCAAAGCAGTTGGTAGTTCGGATGTTTCTGGAAATTGGGATGCTTTGGAACTGAAGGGTACCCATTTTCGGTTTTAACGTTTTAACGGTGACAAAGTTTTTTTAGAGCTTCTAACTTAAAAAAAGTCTTTCGCGAGAGAGAGAGAGATACATCTTTATATTTTCTTAACATTCCTCCAATATTTTTTTGATTCAAGTGTTTCCCCCGCTGCAAGAATACAATTTTACGTACTTTTTTTTTTTGTTAAGAAAAGCATATGCTATCTTTAAACTCTTGAACAAACCACGTTTTTTCACTATTTTTAAAAACCTGCCAATCCGGAAGATCGAAAAAAGTCCATAAAAGTTGTATTGTTTCCACTATTCAGAGCGAAAATATAAAAGTATGAAGATATCATCAGAAAATCACAAAAAATCTTTGGAAGCAAAACTACATCTTATTTAATGTTTTTGCGTATCGCCACTTCGAAATTATGAACAAAAAGTCGTTAAAATAAACCTAAAACGTTATGTCCATTCCTAAGTTGTTGTCAAATTGGCAACTGAATGTTTAAATATTTTTTCACGTTATCTTGTCCAATGTCAATTTTCGATTACACAATTATGAAGACTTCTAATACCCCTCTTTCTCCTGAGACTTAAGGGCTCCACCCGAAGTCAATCGTATATATATATATATACAGGGTGACTTTGAAGTTGAGTCATTAATTTTCAGATAATGATTGTAGAAGGAAGATAAACCAAAATATGTGTGTAAAAATAAAAAAAAAATAAAAAAAAATTTTTACCTTGTTTTATAAAGTATCCTCCCGACAAGTATTTCAGTGCGGACCTGTATTTGATCGTGAGGTCCCCTCTGAGGTCTTAAGTCACCTGATTCACGAGCCCGTTGTACTACATTAGCAAAGGCACGAGGGGTTGGTTGCACTCGATTGGGAAACCGATCCGCATAAACATGTGCCATTTTTTATTTCGTTTGAGCCACGCAACAGATACCACCATTCACTGACACTGATTGTATACAAATGAATGAGATACTTGTAAAAACATCGTTCCAAATTCTTTCGCTTTTTTGTTTCCGATGCGATGAACCGATACGGCGGATTATATCCGTTGTCGCCAAACACGACCACGTAATATTGTTATTGAGACAGGGCGGTACTCAAACTTCCAAAGGGCTATAACTTTGTTACTTTAATTTTACCAGGAAAATGGTAAAGGAAAAAAACATTTCTTTTGATCAGATCTACTCACTGTTAAAATAAATGACTCAACTTCGAAGTCACCCTGTATATACATATATATATGCTGGGTGCGCGATGGCAACGCCACCTGGCAAATGTCGGACAGAAACTTTTGTGCTTGACACGTAGGACGTAACCTCAACGAATATCAATAAAAATAACAGAATTTTGTCGAACTAGTTGAATTTCAAACGGGCAATTCTCTCTTGATCTTACAAATGATGACATCGAATAGAGACCACGGATTTTACTATAGAGATCACGTTTATCAATCTTCGCTTTTACTCCACCGCATGCACCATGATCGATTTAGCTCCCCCACTGTGCACTTGGCTCCTGGCGAATACGCCTCTGATGTCTCGGTGTACACATAATTTGAAATTAACCAATTTTCGCTCAACTACATAACGTGTGCTTGTTTCATGTTTCTAATACTAACTGAAATTCCTTAACTATACATCGTTCTCGTCTTTCGATCACCCTTCATAGACAACACGAAAATATTATTTATCTTTGGTCTACAATGGATACTTTTTATTTAATGTAGAAGCCCAGCTTGAGCTTTGCAGACAAAAAGGAACAATGCTGAATCAGAAGTTTTGTGCATTTTCTCTACTACTCAGTTATATGATGAACGAGTTTCTTTGTTAAGCTTACCAATAATTGTTCCATCTAAGTCAAATATAACATGAGTAACAGGTTGAAACTTTTTTGGTGGATGGCAGCAATGTGGAAACATGATGCTTGCACGTGAATTTTTGGTTTGGTTTTAAATGATTTATTTTGACATGCTATATTGATGTCATCGAGGTCATTTGACAATCAGAAAACTGTCGTATGGAAAGTTATTTACTTGTCAGTTTGACTTCATAAGCCTGTGACTAGACCAACGAATTTGAATAGATTAGAAAGAGACAAGCCTATAATTTTACATTGCATTGTTTGTCGACCAAAATGGTTAGTTAGTTTTAGTGCGTACTTTTGATTCATTTGTCTACCAAAGCCTACGAAAGTGATAGCGTTGATTCGACCTAATAATAATACTTGCAAATTATGTAAGAAGTAAGCCTAGACGTCGCCTAACATCTCTTTTATTTCCAAACACTCGCTTTTTAAATAAAATAACATTAAAACTATGAATTTAGTGTCAAGTTCACTCCGATCCTTACTACATACTCTGAAAATAAGGAGACAAAGAAATCCTTGGCTGACTCCTTCTACCTCCTCTGGATTCGTTATGCTGACCATTCTAACAGTGATGAATCTAAGATGGTAGCACGAATGCCACTAAAAACAAGAAGCCGCGTTTTCCATCCTCCAATATTAGATCCGGGGAACGCGGTGGCGACTGAATAGGAGCATCTTGACCTCTACCAATTCGTCTACCGTCTTTCGTTCAAGTCACTTCTTACAGCACGCGCAAAGTGAGGTGGAACACCAACATACTGTAGGAGATGAAGTTAGCTATATCCGTTTATCAGGCACCTAAAAGGATCAACTAAAAAGCTACCGATATTAATTTTAAATTCCCATTGAAAATGTGTTTCTGAAACTGCATGCAGATCTTCTTCAAACATGCAAATTAATCATACCACGTCAGGTAAAGTACTACCCATCTGTAAACAAAATTTTCTTGCTGAATGACCTAACAGCTGCTCTGCGTTCTGATACATTTTGTACAAATCTCAAACGTAACCGATGGTGTGTAGGAAATAATTCATGTACAGGCTGAACATGAAAAGTAAGACTAAATTGTTTATTTAAAATCCAGTTAACCCACACAGTTTTGAACTCCCGCTATTTGCTTGCTTATGAAGAACAAACAAGATACTAACAATCGAAAATACACTCAAACATTACTTATTAATTTGAACTTTATAAAGCTTGCTTTCAAATATAGTATGATACTGAGATAGCTTTCCAAATTTTCGCCAACTAGATCCTTAGTAGAGTTTAATGCTTGATGCAATAAGTAGAACATTTTTTAGAAACTAGCTCAGATAAAAATTGCGGAAACATTCTGCTATAATTTATGTAGTTGTGAGGGTAGTTTTCACCCTTATCGAATCGTTGCGGATTTTTGTAAAATCGGATATTAAGACGTCAACCAAAATAAATGTGTTTCAAATTTCTTTCAAATCAGACTATCGGTTTCCAAAAATATCTAAAAAAATTGTATTAAAAAGAAAAGTTTGACGCCCTCTGACAGACAAATAAAGCAGTTTTGCATAGAGGTTAATCATGTCCAATCGATTTATTTTGAGTCTAAGAATACGTGGTAATTTTATGTTCCCGCAATATTGGGACACCATGTATAAGAATACGTTGAAATCATATTTCTTACGTTGTTGGATATAAGACGGTTTTTATTATATATATCTGGAGTTCTGCTTATTTCAAGAACATATAGCGGGATCCAAGATGACATAGGTACAACGTATACAATATGACACCGAAATTCTACTCTCAAACATTGTAATATGCAATAAGGCCGTTTTCAAGGTATTGCAATTCCCCAAAACTATTTTCCGCGAACGTATTCACGTCATTCGGATATAGAGCATATGTTACGCTTACCCTTCATATTTGATTTCTTGTGAAGTTTCGCAGTTCCCGTTTATACCAAACAGTGTTTGTATACAGCACAGGAGTCTTCTGAAGCAGGAGAAAATAACACATCAGACGGACGACAACTGACACAAAATACGTGACATGAATATTGAACAGAACAGAGATGGTTTATGAAGAATAACTGGTAAATGTGTTAATACAGAGTGAATCCGACGATGGAGCCTCTAAAGAGACAATATTTTCACTGGATTATCTAGTTGTAATAGAGAGTAATCAGCAACATGTATACATATATAGTTCTTTTTACGGTTTTTGGCGCTTACGTCATCAATTCCATACGAAATATGCAAATGGACTGACTGAATCTTATGCGGATCTGAAGCTCCATAGACAACTGATTAGGGGAAAACCAGTATGGAAGTCAGGAGATATTAACCATTCAAAATACCAGCTACATTCAGCAACCTAATCTGACATCGACACACTCTAAACCCACGCTCAAGTGACAAGATGGTTTCATATTTATCCAATCATTTTTTTAAACTGTCAACAAATTAAAAATCATGGAGACGCAGTGTGAGAGCTTACCCCGGGAATTATCTCCCGTCACAATCAATAATTTTTTAAATAATTTTTGAAGTATAATGGGCCACTAACAAAATTTTGACGCAGTAGTCACCATATAGGTCCGCATATGATGATGTTCGTTAATGGGTTAAAAATAACTCATTTAGGTCGTCAGGGACATACTGGAAATAACTAAATATTGTTGACACACCGTCTATAATAGCGATTCAAAATTGTATTTGTAGAAAGTCCTTTATCTCAAAAAATCTTTTCATTTTTTGTTAAAATGATTCGTTTCCGAGAAAAATTGATTTCTTCCAATGCAACTCCTATCCATTCATAGTATACTGCAGTCCATCCTTAAAAAGTTTGACAAAAGCCTAGAAGTTGACTGAGTGATATGAAAATTTGTATTTTTGACTTTTTTGGAATCACAAATTTATCAGAATCACTGTTTTTTCAAATTGGAAGAACCACTATACTCTATCCGGTACCAAAATTGATACAACTGAAACAAAATTCAAATAAGATCAAAGTTCAGGTTTTCAAAGAATGTCATCGTTATGCACAATTTTGTATATAGGAGGTACATCAAAATATTTGTTTTATTTCTCAAAACAACCAAAGAAAATGCCCTTCAAGTACAAACTACTACTACTAAAAGAACAACAGAAATAAAAACAAAATTCATGTAGTCAAAATAAGGAAAGCGCTGGACGACAAAGGAAAGTGTGTATTAGGAAAATGGCCATACAATTTTATCTGACTAAGATACTTCTATTTTCTGATAAACAATGCTAATTATAACGATTTATTATCACTCAACACAAATCAGGATAAAATCTTCCTATAGTCAACGCCAAACAAAGTGGCGTGCACGTCATCACGATAAAAATTCCTCGACCTAATGCCTAGGTTTCTATCACAAACAATTGCTCTATTGCAGTTTCATATTAATGCGATATATAAATTGTAAAATGGTCATTACTCTCTTATTATGGTTAATAGTCATATAAACATTGTTATTAAAATATCACATAAGTTGCTTTCTGATAAATTTAAACGCATTATGCGAAATAAAATGTTTTGCAAACGCTCCAATCACTTATCGACATGTAAACGCACTAAACCGATTTCGCAGCGTTGACACATTGTCACCTTGAAACTTATTTAAACTGGGAACTGACATTTGTATTAATTTTGACACTGAATCAATTTGTGGCATTTCAAATCTTTATAAATCCTTTGGCCCCGCATACTGTAAATCAACAACTGTTTGTTTCAAAACAAAATTATTCATTTTACGAGTAGATAAAGGCAATTTTGGTATATAAAGATGCCCAAACAGTTAAATAGTCGGTGTAAGGAACTCGTGGCCTCGTTAATGCACTACTTTGAGCAAGAAAGGGACAACAACGGGCCTTTGTTGCCTTTAAATGCTGTTCAAGAGGTAGGTTACTAATAATTATATGTAATGTATATTAATAATAGTGAAATTTTATTTCATTTTTTGTAGCGTGTTGCTGCTACTTTAAAAATTAGTTTAAGGACAGTTAGTCGTATTTCCGAGGGTGTGAAAAGTGATGCAAATTTAGAATCGCCCAAGAAAAAGCGGAGTTATATTAAACGTGTAACCAACACAGCGACATTGGATACAAGTGCCATTCGAGAAGTGATCTATAATATGTATCGCAAAAGTAAGATCTTATTATAATAACTTATCAGAAATTTGCATTAATTTGTTAACTAAATTATAATGTCATATTACACATGGTTTCAGAAGAACAAGTTACGATACAAACTTTATGGTCTCGATTAAGAGATAGGGCATTATTTGATGGTAGTGCCACGTCTTTAAGGCGGTTGCTTAGAGATCTTGGATTTAAGTGGCTTAAGGACAATCCGCGACGAGGGCTCATGGAACTACCAAGTATAGCTTTGAAAAGGGTGGAATTTCTAAGGCAATACAATCAAGCCAAGGTTGAGGCCTTATACCAGTTTGTCTTCCTCGATGAAACTTGGATATTTCAAAATGGGACCATAGGTCGCTCTTGGCAAAATGGAAACCAAAAAAGCGTGAAAGCTATTAAAACAGATGGTAAAAGGTATGTACTTTTACACAATTTGCACTATAAAATTTAAAACTAATATATTTTAGATACATTATATTACATGCTGGAAATGAAAATGGGTTTATTGAGGGTAGTGAAGCGATATTTTCTTCGAAAACAAAATTGAGCGATTACCATGGAGAGATGAACCAGGACAATTTTTTGAAATGGTTTCAACATTAGTTATTAGAAAAATTGGAGAGTCCATCTATGATTATACTGGATAACGCCCCTTATCACAGCATGATATTGAACAAAGTGCCCAACAATGCATGGACAAAAAAAATATCCAAGACTGGTTGACAAATCAAAACATACCATTTTTAAACACAATGTTTAAAACAGAGCTATTGAGTATTGTTGCTCGGTACATAATGCTTCTTAATTATATATATTTTGGTCGACAGTTTATATTTCTTTTGTTTATTCCTATTCTTAAAATAACTGCTTTTTTAGAAACAAACCACCTAAAATATACGTGATTGATGAATTGGCGGAACAACATGGGCACAAAGTTCTTCGTCTGCCTCCTTACCATTGTATATTTAACCCTATTGAGTTAATTTGGGGCATAGCAAAAGGTTACTATAACAGACATATTGGTAGAGATGGTAACAGTGAAAAAGACTGTTTGGATATGTGGAACGAGGCTCTACAAACGGTTACCCCAGACATGTGGAAAAATAGTGTTCGACATACTGAGCAAGAAATTTTTAAATGGTATGAAAGAGAACGAATTTTTGATCGACCAGACATCGAACCTTTAATAATCAACTTTGAGAGTGATGAAGATTCAGATTCAGACAGCGCTGAAGAAAGAAACTCCGACTAACTTTATTGTACAGAAAAAGCTTACACCAGTAGCTTACCTAATTTTAGAATGCATTTTTCTGTATGAATTCTGTAAAATAAATACCATGCATAAAATTTGGAGGACCCCATTTGGATTTTTATTCAGTACCTTTAAGCTATCAATTAAATATGATAGTTTCATAGTGTCATCTGATCAATAATTGTCATACTTAATGATTATGCAAGTACAGATCTATAATTTTATTATACTATTATTTTTGTTCTCATTTGAGGTTAATATTGCTTATAAACCTAGATATGTAAATAATAAATTTTATTATTTTACAAAAAGTTTGGCAACAATGTAAATTTTTCAACACACCCACCTTGATGACGTGCACGCCACTTTGTTTGGCGTTGACTATACACCTGAGGTAATGTTTCCCAGTCCACACTCGGGAGATAAGCTCAAGTCAAATAAAACTGCCAACTACGCAGCAACTGTGCAATATACAGGGTGTCCCGAAAAAAGTGTGCAATATTCTACCAGCGGTTTCTAGAGCTTAAAATAGGAAGAAAAGTTTATATAAACAGGTCGACAAACGTCCCATAAGTGTCTTTTAAAGGGGCTCCCCTGAAGATGGTTTTTCCTTAATATTTCCGAAACGTGTTGAGATAAAGACATAAAATTTGGTATCTTAGCCTAGTTTTTAATGCTGGATTCAAAAATATTAACAATTTTAGACAGTTTTGTTTGAAAGCGTATGTCACATGATAGGAAATGTACTGCGAATTTAAATGAATTGTTGATTATACATAGTTAGCCATGACTGCAAACAAAAGTTGTTTTGATTTGTTATGACTTATTTTGACATTAAGCTGACATTGTTAGCAGTGTAAAATTACTAGATTAAAATAAAACATTTTATTAAATCGATTTAAAATGCCAAGATTTACAGACAGAGAACTGACTGACATGCATTTTGTGCACGGGTTTTGCAATGGCAGTTCATTGGCAGCCGTAAGAGAATATCAAAGAAGATTTCCCAATCGCATAGTACCTGGACGTCGAATGTTTACTCGTATTCACCGGAATTTGTCAAACCATGGAAGTTTTCAACGCACGCAGGGCTCAGGAAGGCCACTGGGAAATCATCGTATGGATATTGCTTTAAATATGTTTGAAAATAATCCGCAAATAAGCATACGAAATGTTTCAGAAATTATGGATATACCTTGATCAATCGTTAAAAAAAATTTATGAATACCTATTTGATAGTTGTCCTAAAAATAATAATTTTAGATAGGAAGAATGACAAGAATGCAAGGATTACATCCTTATCATTTTAAACGGGTGCGGCATGTAACGGAGGCAGATTTTTTACCACGAATCGAGTTTTGCCAATGAATATTAGCAAATGAAAACACTATTCCTAGAATATTATGGTCGGATGAGTCAATATTTACTAGGAATGGTACTTTTAATTTCCATAACATGCATCACTGGTCAGATGAAAATCCAAAAGTTGTTCGCCGTACAAATTTCCAACATAGATTTTCATTGAACCTATGGGCAAGAGTAATTGGGGATCAAGTAATTGGGCCTATTGTACTCCCCAATCGTCTCAATTCAAAGGTGTATCTGAACTTTCTTGAGAATGAGCTCATTGATATAATACCATTGGATGTGCGCCAGCAGTTTCAAGAAAATATGTATTTTCAGCATGATGGCGCATCTGCACATTTTGGACGCAATGTTCGAAATTGGTTGAATGTCAATTTTCCAGACAGGTG